ATGAGGGGGCGGAGGAGGCAGAGGCTGCGCTGCAGAGGGAGGGGCGGGGTCATCCGGGTCCCTTTTACGCCCACCCCGTAAAAACGGGCTCCTTTCCGCCCGCTCGCCGACACATCGCGGCGCCTCAACGCGCCCGGGTCCCTGCGTTCGCCCACGCACTTGTCATCGTGCGTTAGGTCGAATGGAACATGCGGTGATTGGCTGTACGTCTCACTTTGGAAACTGTGGGGCGTTTCACTGGAGAAAAACAAAAATTTATCGCCCTTTTTCCTTTGCATTCTTGGGCATTAGTAACAAAAAAGTGGATAAATCTTGTTCATATATGTACTTCATGTAACACTTCGTGAAGTCAGAATCCACGGAAGGAAAAACGTCTGAATGTCTCTCTGACACTCAGTCATTCAATCAATCAATCAGTCCGTCGGTCCATCCATCAGAGTATTCTAAACCGTTCAGAAGATTTTCTCAAAAACTGATACGTATTCTCCGATCGATCTAAAAAACTCAAAGCCCTGTGATTTTTAAACGAATGTTTGAATTTCGGCAGCCATGAGCCACAACATTTTTAAAAATTTCCCAAAAATGACTCCAATTATTTTAATATTATTTGTCTTCGGATATCGTAAAGAAGACTTAATAATGACGTATGTCTAATTTTCGTTAAGATTACAGAATTTTCGAAAATCGCAGGTCTAATTGTTTGGCCAATTAATACAACTACAATATTGATGAGAGATATTTTTTTCAAAATGAAAGTAGTTGTTCAAAAACAGATCATAAAATAAGATCTTGGACAATTTTTCAAAATACGCGTAGTTTTCGGGTAATTTTGCATGAAGTATATGCAATTTTTTAACACAATTGTATTCTAAAAAAGTCTCCAAATTGTTTCTTAATTTTTTCCTCCTATGTAAAAAATGTAAACTGTAAAACTAAAAAAACTGGCCCTGGTCCATTTGTTTCATTTTGAGCGCACCCTCTGAAGTTTCGGAAATTACAAAAAAATAAACATTGCAGAAGTAATTGATGATCGAGATTTTTACGTAAATGAAGCCTGTTCTAAAAGATTAGATCATTTAAAAAGAACGAGTGCATTTTTTTAAAAAACGGATAGTTTTGCGTAATTTTTGCTTGAATCATTACAATTTATAAATAATGTTTTTCAAAAGCGCTGACAATTTTTTCTATAATTTTTTCCCGAATGGACCAAAGGAGCTTAAAATCCAGAAGATCTCATTTTCGTTGTACACTGGATTTTCGAAAAAAATTGAAGTAATACGAGAAAGTATGTGCTGTCTAGCTCCACTATTTTCTTTATTTCCAAGACAGTGTCCAATTAATAGTGAGCTGTCGTCCAACATGCCTTAAATGTTTCATGTCTGAATCCAGCACAATTGGATGTGTTGTAATTTTTCAGTCTTTGCGTAATTACATCATCCATGTAAGAGGAGGTACCCTCAAAATTCTCACAATCGTGCGCTAGTATAGAAAATATATATGAATTCGTAATTGTTCTTGTATCTCCATAAGTTTAAGTTAATTAGAAAGATGAACATTAGGGTGATGCAAGATTTGACCTACAGAGTTAAAGTGCTAAAAACAAATTAACTGAAGATTTTTTTTCGTATTTCACATAGCTTCTGCTTACTGTTATATTAATAGCAACTACGCATTGAATAATACGATGCTTACCATAATGTTACTCCGATGATATCTGAATTATATTACCCAATTTAAAGAAACAGGTTGAACCTGAAATTACATTGTACATGCTAGTCTTTTATATCGTAGGTTAATTTACATGGTAAAACGGCCGTAATAATCATGTATTTTTTAAAGAAAGGAAGGTTACGAAGATAACAAGCAAGGTGTGCGAGACATTGAACTTCCTACACTCAATGCAATTCAGTCTCCTTTGAGTGCACTAGAAGTCAATCCATCAATTAGGAAAGCTGTGCATAAAATGTTAATAATCCAGGACAATTTGCCTTTAGTGTGGGAGAGAATGCGCAACTTCCATCAAGTTCACATACACAATGTGATCTTCAGTGTTTTTCATTTGTGACTTCTCTCATCTAGTATTACAAAGGAGAGGGAGAGAGAGAGAGTAAATACATGCTTTGCGATCGGTTGCTTCTAATTCTGATTACATTATTACTACTTTCTTGATTATGCTACAAAAACAGCCAATTGCAATTTTTAACTCATTATTTAAATTTGTTTTTCCAGCCGTGAAATTGGAAAAGAACGTCAATATACGTACCCTCGAGCGCAGAAAGTAATCTGATCTTTTAGTTTACACAGATACAAATCACGAGTGTGCCTCTGCCTACGAACCAGAAAGATCAAGCAGTCAGAAGTTCCGTCGAATAGGCCCAGTGTGTGCTGGCGCAGCACGTTGCAATATCAAGGCTCGCGCGACCGACACCCGGTCCGGGTGACGCGGTGTTTTTTCCTGCAGTTCATTTCTGCTGACGCGTCCCTGGTCCGATTTCGGGCTCCGCAGAAAGGCATTAAAATTCGCTAACGCCTGCGACGATAGAATTCGAACCTCGAAACTGCTGAGCCCTCGACCGTGCCGAGGTCTGCAACACACGTCAGGGTTTGAAGCGAATGAGAAAAGCTGTAGGCTTTTTCCACGCTCCTCAGTTGATGAATGGAGAACAATATGATCATTTTTGATATATCTGCGTGTCTTGTCGAAATATAGAAGAGCTAGCACAACTCTGCGTCCGAAGTTAATGCACACAACGGTCACGTTAATGTGACTACCGCCTGTATGTTCGTCATAAACGTGCAATAACCCCTCACAGACGGCAGGTGGCACTAACAGGGAGGATATACGATAAAGCGTGTCGAGTGAAATCGGCAAATTACAGTAGTTGACGAAATGCAGAAAAAGAGGATTTATTGAACATCCAAAAGGAGATGCTCATTGGCTTTCGAGCTAAGGGCGGAAGCATTTTCCGAACGGCTACGTTTGTAGTGTTCCGTAATATCCAAGTATCCAAACCCGGCACCGAGGCGATTGTGGCGCACCATGGACCATAGATGACGGCTGCGGAGATGTGTACGGGTGGATAGACGTGCAACTGTAGAGCGACTGACCACGCAGGTGAACCCAAGGGCTACCAACAGTCTCCTCACAACCGCTCAGCGAACATTGGTGGATATAGGATTCCGCAACAGGTGCCTGGTTCGTGCACTCACGCTGGCTGCCGTTCATCGGCGACGACGGCTGGAATTTGCACGCCAATACCGCACCTGTACGTCCACTGGGCGGCGACATGTCTTTTCAGATGAATAAAGTGTTTTGGGCCAACGGGCAGATAGTCGTTGGCCCTGCAACGCGAACACCCTGCAATGGGTCCAGGCCGGAGGAGGGAGCGCGAAGGCGCGGCGTGGGAAACGATTCGTGGCATTCCCTGGGTGATCTCATCATTATGGAAGGCATAGTGGATCAACAGAAATATGCAGTCATCCTTGGGGACCATGTCCATCGCCGTCGCAGATCGTTCAAGACGGCATCGACGAGCAGGAGAGTGCAACGGGTCAACCAGCTCTCGGAGTACGTGCGTGGTTCGAAGAGCACCAGGATGAGTTAGAAGTACTCCTCTGGTCACCAAACCCCCTCGATTTAAACCCAATAGAGAATCTGTGGGACCATATCGATCGGACTGTTCGCATCATGGATGCGCAACCGAGGAACGTAGCTAGCCACGACGTTGAAGTCGGAACGGCTTTACATCCCTGTCGGTGCCAGCCAGAACCTAATTGAATCTCTTCCTGAACGTCTCGCAGCGGTCAGTGCTGCAAAAGGGGGATATTGAGGGGAAGGATCTTGACGGGTGGTCACAATGGTGACTGGTATGTGTATATTCCTTAATAGCGTATACGAGGTCATTTGGGATATTTGTTCGCAACCAGACACAAAACGTTACCACCTGCCTAAAGGTCTACGTAGAGCATCTTCCCCTGATTGCTTTATTATAATGTTTTTCGCTTAGCCAACTCATTAAGTCCATGAAAAATTATCGATTATCACTATATGAATGAAACGTGTGCAGTTAAAACTCTTGCAGACTCTTAAAAGCAGGCTTTTAAGGTAGATGTTACCTGTGCTTGAAGCGGGTATGATGTGCAGATGTATACAAAACGACAAATATTTCAAACCCCCATTGTCTTTCACGTATCCGTCAGTGAACCGCAGCCTGATTTTTCTACCCATATTTTTACATGCATAAAATTATATTTTTTAATACTCGTGATTAATGTATTAAGTGTCCCTTTCTCTTCTGATGGAGAGCGCAGACAGGACAATCCTGGATTTTATTCAATACGGATTCGAACAGTCTGAGTTTCATACCACCACTCTCACTACGTGGGTGAGTTTATTATCTGTGGTTTCGATTACGTCTAATATGTATTTTTAGATAAAAAAATAATTATTGTTTTTATTAAGATAAAGGTCTACTGTTTTTATTAAGAAAAGTTGGCAATATTTGAAGAAAGACGTTTCTTTCCTGCCTCTCTTGCGCTTCCCTTTGACCATTAGAATATAATTCTTTTATCACAATTGACACGCCAGGCAGTCTCAGTCGTGACTGCTGGGTCTTTGATATGTTGTAACATTTGGAAACTGCCAAAAAAATGTTCTTAAATGTATTTCCTAATTTGAATTTTGTGTAATACGTACTTTGATGAGTTCCACATCTTTCTGTATTATATATCTGTAACATCTTATGAGTTTTAAACACAATGAATAGTAATTAAAAGAATGTGTTGTTAGCCTGATCATGGAGCAAATTAAGACTCCAAAAGTTGCTTTGTAAAAAAATTCTTTATTATCTGCCATAGTTCTTTCAAGAAACGGTTCGTCCCGCGAAAAGCCAAACAAGTTTCATTGATGTATTTTTAGGCTGGTACAGGACGACGATTGATGTATTTTTAGGCTCAGTAAATGTTAGAGGTTGAGTGAGCTGCAATGGCGCGCTACGTACTGTAAGGGATGAGCTCGCGCCGCATCATGGCTGCGAAGGCGATGGCGCGGGCGAGGGCGGGGGCGGGAGCGGGGCGCCCCTCAGCTGAGCGGGCCGAGGCCGGGGTCGGGGCGGCGGCTGCTGGCGCTGGGCGACGGGGCGCGCGGCCGGCGGGGCGAGCGGGGCGAGCGGGCCGCTTCTGCGACACACACACGCACGCACTCTCACTCACGGCCTGCAGCGGCCACGTCTCGAGGCTACCGTTATTCACACCACGTTCAACAAGGATTCACGAGAAGTATGAAACTATGGTTACTTATTACAATGTGTGTAAACAATGCTTTCTGACTTATCAGAGGAACCCTACTGATTATTGAATTGAATTAGAAGAGAGAATGAATTGCTGATCGAATATACAGTGCAGAAATCGGAACTGGTTTATGTAACACAGTACAAGCATTGGCATTTTGTAGTTCAACATTACAATAAACTGTTATTTGTTTACTTCTTTGTTTTACACGCTGAAAATACATCCACATTATTATTAATATAACGATTCTATTTCACATCGAAAAGGATGGCTGAAGGAATGTCTTTAGCTAAAATTGAAATGTTTACTAAAAATATATCCCACGGAGTATTTACATGTCAATATTAATCCGATCAACACTGCGACAATATCATAACGTTTGCAATTCACAAAAATTCAGAGAGGAGAACGAAAATGAGACCTTCATTTTTAAGCGTCCTTCGTTCTATCCGTGGAAAGAATTTAAAGAAAAGATCATAACTCAGCTTCAAATTTTTTTGTTTCTTTTTTCACACAAACACAACAAACGACGCTTAAAAAGTGCACAGATCTCATTTCCTTCAATTCTCTAAATTTTTGAAAATTGCAAATGCAGAAATAATGCGAGAAAGTATGTGCTGTTGAAACAACACTAGTTTTAACATTCCGTGAATCAGTTTTGCAATTCAACTTCATAACAGTCTAAAATGATTAATATTTTAGGTTAATGAACCGATGAACTTTTGGCATTTCACAGTACATCATTGGGACCGTATGTAAGTGCGTGTAATTATTGTAATAAATATAATTTTCAGTAAATTATTAAAATAATAGTTGTAGGATGTAACATGATTCGTATATTTAGTAAATATCAGTAATAATGACTGTTCTTTAATTCCCAAGTGTATTTTGTTACGTTTTCATTATGGTGTCTTTGTTCTCCTTTCAATAAAATCTGGCAACTCCTATGCGCCTATAGATATTTCCAGTTGAGTGCGTACAATTCATGTAACATTAAGTTCAGCTTCTCAATTAGTTTGTAGTTCACATATGAGAAAATAATATGTAGAATACAAAAATATACTCCTATCATTTGGCCTTACTTGGATTCAACACAGTATTTGTCAGAACTTAAAGAGGCGTTATTAATGACATACTAAAACATTTAAGATTTTACTTACGAGACATAGCTGATCCACAGACTACGCGATGATCTCTGACCTGAAACAACAGAACCATTCATGTGTTAGGATGCACGAATCAGATGATTACGGATTATCAAAGAATTATTAAAGATTCTTATTTCGTTTCGAACATTCCACACACTCCCATCTTATAAGTATCGAAACCTATATTCAGGAGGCATTATTAATAATCAACATGTGATTGCTGCTAATCTCGACATTAAAAAGCCTACCATATGGTCTGTGTGCATCACATCTTGTCTAAACTTCACGAAATAGGAATCAGAGGAAAGATGTTTGAGTTTCTCAAAAATTTTGCACTTGACAGTACAATACAAGTGAGTTAATAATCATCTACTTAATACAAGAAAACAAGAAAATGGTGTCCCTCAAAGATCAGATTTCAGTGTTACATTATTCCTTTTGGCTATTAATGATGCAGATTATAATATTGAAGCACCAATAATAATTAGAAAATATTCCGATGGTATAAATGTCCTCTGTAAAGAAAGACACTTAAGCATCACTTGAATCTGTAAAATAAGTTTAAAATAAATTATATCCCTGGTCTCAAAAGTCTGGTTTTAAGTTTCCATCCAAAACACAGATTGCGTATTATACAAGCATAATGGATCTTTTCTCAAATCAAACCTGTCTTCATAACCAGAGGAGTCTATACAGGACATTCTTCACTTAATCTTCAAAAGTCCACAAATGTACATAACATGTCATGTCATGTACAACTGAAGATTTGAAATTTGTTGGAGAAGATATGCAAAACAAATGGAGCCGTGACTGGTCAGATTATACAGCCAAATATTTTCATACATCTAGTATAGTTTCATACATTATCCGCCCATAAAAATATCAAACAAGGGGAGCAAGTAGCCCTTCATAGAATAAGAACAGGAGATTGCAAATTACGGCATATCCACTTAATTAAAAAATTACCCCTACATGTAAAAAGTGCAATATCCCTCTAACTCGTTGTAACATTTTTCAAAGTATGTCTCAGTAACCGTCAACGATATGAAACTGAGTATAATCATAAAGCAATACTCAATTAAATAATTTACATTTTGTAAAGCCATTGATTAATTTTTGGAGGTTTCATTCCAAGAAATACATGAAGTTTGTCACTATTGTTCTGAATTGTTACTACTGTAAAATGATTGTCAAATACAACGTATTTTTATTGATAATTAACGTATTTACTGATTTATTGATAAAATCACTAATGTATAGTAACAGAAATAGTCGTTAATAATCACTTGTTGATACGACTAAAAATAAACTAAAAAAATATAAATTGAAACATATTTGAAATCATTTTCTGCATTAAACTGTTGTTCATATTTTCCTTGGATACATGTTTTTACAGGAGGCAATAATAATTTAGGGCGGAATGAAAGTGTCACATAATCCGGTAAGAGTTTTGAGTAATATTTCTCGTAATTTCGTAATTCCTGTACTTTCAGTTATCCATTTCAGTCATGTAATGTGTGAATTCGTAAAATAAACACATTAAATTCAGTGTTTGTCGGTAAATTCAATATTCGCGTAGCACTATGACATCACTTCTCGTGATATTACTTACGACTAAAAAGGAATCTGGGTATCGGGAGGTGTATGAAAGAAACGTCTCCAACAGAACATTAAGATAGAACGCCGTAATATGTGAAAGAAACGATGAATCCGCAATGCGCCGCAAGTTTGTTAAAGAACCAGAGCTACTCACACACTGAGCAAGACCTCCAGATCCACACTCTCCTAAGGCTTCAGCTGCCTATCACACGTGCAACCACGCGGTGGACTGAACGCAGGGTAAACACTTCAACCGCCTATGCCCGCTGCATCCTCATTTGGTCACGAGAGAGAAACCTCTTTCGGGGAGATATGATATCCCCTCTTTCCGTTTGCACGTTCGGGTTCTTATCGCTGGGCTCCACTGGGATTGATTTTTCTCCCGAGTTCAAATTTCGAGCTGCTGATAAGAGACAGCGCGCACAGCGAGGATGTGGCTGCTGAAAGCCAACGCACACAAGGGGGAGTCTGCAGCGGCGAAGGCGGGGGCGACGACATTATCATAATCCCTCACCACATGGCGCCGAGCACGATACGCCGCTACGTGGAACCCCATGCGCTGCGTTCCTTTGGACGGACCATTGCGAGGGAACGGTTCCGCGCCTCGGGCTCGCTTGGGGGGGGTCCTGGCTGAGCATCTTGGCAGTGTCGGATCCAGAAAGTATTGCAGGGGAAGGAGGCAATTTCAGATTTCATTTCGGATCTCCATGAATATTTTTTTCAAATGTTAGCTTGAAACTAAAGTGGTGGATGTGATAATTGTTCTGAATCCATTGATAAAAATTATAAAAATGTTGGCTGAGGAAGGTGGCCAATATCTTTCTTCCTCCGCTCTGAATCTATCACTGATATAGACCTGATATTGTATGTGACTAAACATCATAACATTGTACAGACGTTAATAAACAGAAATTCTCGTACTTACAGCGGTGCAATTAAATTGTATATAATAGTCAATTTAATTTTACGATATATATTTAGAGCTTCTGCAAGTTTCCGACCACTCCCCGAAAAGGGAGTGCCTCGGAAGAACTGCATCTCCAAATGTAATCAAAGTTCTAAGAGGCGTCATTTTTTGAAGGTTTTGACATGAATATATGAAGTAGAGCCTTCTAAAGCTCGCATGAAAACCGAGTTTTAAGGAACTAGAACTTCGCATTATTAGTACAATGGTATTGTATGTTGCGTTTGCCCCAGGAACAACAGCAACACAATTGCATAGCTTGTTAGTATCCGTCGTACGAAAGCGTCGTCTCTCCTTTTGCTTTTGTACATGAGAAGGGATTGCAAATCAACATGTGCCAAAATATTGGCAACACGCGACGACCTGCTTTTGTTCTATTTATTTAACAACAGACCCACTACGAATACTTCGTTATTCAGTGCTAGAACGCAAGTGAGTGATCCGGTTCGCTAATTAATTTGCTTTATTTTGTTTTTGATATTCTGCTTGGCACAGTCCCTCCCCCACTGCGTCCTAGTGTCGGTGCGATAAGCGGAGTGGAATCATCGTGACATAACTGAATTCTGCTTGACGAGGAAGATAACTGACGTGTGCTTCAAATCTTTGGCAAAACGAAGAGGCGAGATATTTTTAGATAGAATACAAGGTAAACGGCTATTTAAATGCTACTACCATTAAAATACTACCATTAAAATACTTCAGAATAAGTCAGAAAAAATGGAAAATTATGTACATTGAATTTCCTACTCTCCAGCAACATATGAGAATACATACCTGTTTTCAAATATTATCAACAAAGGAGTGCAAAGATTAAAAGCAGAAAAGGACCAACAACTTTTATCGCTCTCCCCCTTATTCATTCAATTTTTACAGTCTCGCCTACGTAAGAGAAGATAGTATGGCACTGTAATAGTGCGCCTGAAATTCGCGATTTTGCGACAAAAATATCTTATTACCACGTCCTGGTAATGAAAAAGTAGATAAATCGTGATTCTATACGTAGTAAATTACTCTTTTTATCATGTTGAGCAGTCATGACATGTTTTGCAGGTTCTTGACTTCAAAAAATCGACTGACAGCAAAACGTCCGTCTGTTCGTCTGCTTATGGTTAGTACTAGCGTCTAAACAGTTCAGA